ACTGGACAGTGCATTCACTGAGCATTTGCCAATAACGACTAAGTATCTAGCACTTCACATGCATTACCTGCTGAGTCTTCACCACTGTCCACAGAGCAGCTCCATCATTATCCCCACTTTTATAGAAAAGGAAACTAATGAATCAACAACTCCCTGGGGGAGGAGCCAACAGGTCTGCAAATCACTGGTTATCTCAGCAAAGACTCAGAGGCCTAGAAATTGAGACTTCATTCCTTCCTCTGTTTTAAAAATATTTTATTTTATTTTATTTTATCCATTCATTCATTTTGAGACAAGGTTTTACTAAGTAGTTAAATTCCTTAGGCTGGCCTCAAACTCGCCATTCTCCCACCTCCGCCTCCCAGAGCCCCAGGATTATAGGGATGCACCATGCCTCTGTCAGAACACATTTGTACAAATCAGCCACAGCATGCATGGAGTACAGTTCCCAGATGCTTTGATAATCCTGTGCATGGGAGATCTTGATGGGTTACAAGAGAGAAGGAGCTGAGAGAAAAGGGAGGAGGGGAAAAAGAGAAGCACAGAGGAGTGACAGGAGAGAGGGAGGGGGCAAGGCTGAATGGAAAAGTGGAAAGTCAGTCCTGAAAGCATCAGACAGAAGAACCGAGAAGAACAGAGAGAAGGAGGGTGCAGGACAAGGAGAACAGAAAGACCTCCAAGGTCAGACAAATGCACCTACCACAGCCTGCCTTTCACTTTCCCCCCCGCATCCCTAATCCTAGGCACAAAGGGAGGAATAGAAGAAGTGGCTGAGTAGACCGGCAGGAGACACAATAAACAGCTCCCTCAGACAGGACATCTGTGTTCAGTCTGTTTGACCTCAGTCATCACTATCCTTCCTTGTGACCATGATCTTCTGAGTATAAACTCAGCCTCTCCTGGCCAGCTCTGAGCTCACAAATTGGACAGAAGGGGAGAAGAATTATGTATTTAAAGCATTTAAAATTATTTAACAGCTTAATAGAGATAAAATGCACAGCTTATCAGTGTCAGTGAGGCTACTCTTGGGACATATCTGCAACTTAGCAAAGAGAGAGTCCACATTAATGCCATTAGGTAGTCATATCAAAAGTTCTGGGGACACAGTTTGGTCACATTTTAATGCAAACAACAAAAAAGACATCTAGGGGTCTGGATATGCGTTGGGGGTATGGAAGACAGGAAAAGGGCTACAGAAGGGAGAGGGGATTAGAAACAGAGGAAGAGAGAATTCTCAGTGCACCGCAAAAGCCAGAACAAGTGCAGGGGAAGCAGGTTTATCACTGTCTGCCAGTTACCCCTTCACAGGGAATCTTTGCTCAGTCATGACAAAATCTCTTTCCTTTCTGAGCAGAATTTATCCAAAACAACCCTGAAGTAGAAACAACCGAATACCCATGAACTGACAATGGATAAGGAAAATACAGTATGTTCATAATGGAATATTACTCTACTGTAGAAAGGAATATAGTTTTACCCCATGCTACCACACAGACAGACTTTGAGAGCACCATGCTGACAGACACCAAATGTGAAAGCTACTTGGTGTATGAAGCCATCTCTGTGTGTGTCCAACATAGGCAAACCTTTAAGGGAAGAAAGCAGATGACTGGTTGCCACAGAGGCAGGAGGCAGGGACAAGCAGGAACAGGTAATGGGTACAGAGTTTCTGTTGAAAGTCATGAAAATATTCTAAAATTAGACTGTGGAGAGAGCTGCACAATTGTGAGACTACACTGGAAACCAGAGAACTGTATACTTTCAGTGGGTAGATTTTATTTGATGTGAAATATATTTCAATAAAGCTATAAAAATAAATTTGAAAATTTCAACTAACAAATATATACATTTCCCCTTCCCTATCAAAGAGAGTTTCTCTCTCTCATTATTTTGTAGTTTTTAGTACAAAATTAGAAGCAAAGGAGAAATGCGAGTTAGGTAAAACACCATGTAAATAACAAGCAGTGGCAACAGCTAGTGAGAGGAAAGCCTTTGATTTATTTGTTCCCAATAGCATCCTGAGGATATGGATGAAGTATTCTATGTGGCAAGGGGCCACTAGCTTTCCCAGAACACATATGGGTCATACCTCATCTGCTTCTTTGCCTCACTTAGCCTCCTTTTTATCACTGTATTTCATGCTTATCACAGAAGCTTCATCTCAGCCAGATGCGGTGGCACATACCTGTAAGCCCAGCACTCTGGGAGGCTGAGGCAGAAAGATTGCCAACTTCAAGCCTGGCCTAGGAAATTCAGACATTCAGACACACACACACACACACACACACACACACACACACACACACCAGTCTCATGTGTGCTCAAACATGTATCATAAATTCTACTCATCAATTAAGAGAAATTCTTTCTAAAATAAAGGCAAATCTGTCTCAAAATAAAAAATTAAAAAGGGCTAAGGATATAGCTGAGTGCAAAGGCCCTGCTTCAACCTCCAATACCACCAAAAACAAAAAGGAGGAAGAAGGGGAGAAAAGGGAGAAGAAACAGCAGCTACATCTATGGAAGACCACTTTTGTGGACTAATTCCTACAAACTAGACCTATTTAAAAAAGTGATTTACAGAAATCCAAAGACTTTCCACACTGGTTTCTGGTGGATATGAATTTTTAAAAAATCTATCATAATCCCTTCTTTAAAATTCTAAGAATCAGAGCAAGTCATGTCTCTTTCCTAGGCCTACTTTTCCTCAGCTGTAAGTGAAAGGGCAGCCCAGAAAAATCTCAAAGAATATTGTCTTAAAAAGATCTACCTATTAGTCATGGAAACAGAATGACAGCTGTCCCTCACTATCCCAGGAGCAGTGGTTTCAGGTCCCCCTGTGGGTACCAAAACCCACAGATGCTCAAATTCCTTATATAAAATATAAATTCCTTATATAAAAAATTCCTTAAATAAAATGGTGTAGTATTTGCATAGATATACATCCTCCCAAATACTCTAAATCATCTCCAGATGACTTGCCATGCCTCATACTATGTAAATGCCATCAGAATCTTTGTTGGACTGTAAAGTTTAGGGAATAATGACAAGAACATCTGTACATGTTTAGTACAGATCAGCTCTTTAATACACACACACGCATATGTACACTCACTTTTTAAAAAATCCATGGTTGATAGAATCCAGGGATATGGAATCCAAGTAGAGTTCCAAGGAACTTTAATTTCTTAGGATTTAAATAATTTCCTCCAGAAATAATATAATGTAAAAACTAAGATTGACCCACAGCTCCCCAACAAACCACCTAAGTGATTGCTGAAGGTAAGCAAAGTGCAAAGAAAGGAACATCCAATTTTCCAACATTAAATTTGTGCAAAAATCCTACAATTATCAGTTTATCTCACTATTCCAAATAGATTAACAAATAAAGTAGTTTAGGAAATCTCTGAACAGTAGGAACTATCTTTGGGGAGTGAAAAAGAAAAAAGAAAGCATGTAAACTATAGGTCTTACCTAACCCTGTTGAGAGTCACCTGTAAACAAACTGACAGGTTTTAGAAGTCAGATGAAAATGTAACACCCCATTTTTTCATAGGCTTTAAAACTCCACACCAAAGTAATTCCTAGGCAATCCTAATTTTTCAAGAACTTACTTCAAGGGAACTACAAAGCCCCCTAAACCAAGGCACATTTGCAAGGGCCAAGACCCACACTGGCCAGTGAGAGATGGTCCCTCACCTACGTCTGCACACTGGGCAGTACCTGTGACCTGCAGAACCAAGACTGAAGGGAGCCACAGGAACAGGAGCCAAGAATGTGGTCCTAATCATGAGGAATAGCAGACAAAACCACATGCCATGAAAACTGATGACATCAAGAGATCCATCACCTGCTTTGAAGGAGAAGCCAACCTTCGGAGAAGTGTGATGCTCATAGAGGCCCATGCCAACCCTTTGACCACCAGGGCAGGAGAGAAGCTGGGGGCCTTGGGAGAGAACACAGGTCCTGAAGTAGGGTGGCTGGTAAAGAGCCCAAACAGAGCATCTTGTCTGGTTGCCAGTACCACATCCTTGGTAGCTGCTGGACAGGAACCCTACCATTAAGCAGCTGTGCTTGTGGAGAAGCAGAAGCAGCCCCTCTACAGAACTCCTGACAGCCCTTCAAGAGTTGTTTTTTTGGTTTCAGATAAGGTCTTCCAGAGAAAACCACAAGGAACAGGTTTAAACTGCCAAAATTGCCCAGTGACTCTTCTAAGTGAGTAAACTTTGCTCATTATAATCTCACTGTGCCAGGCATGGTGGCACACACCCATGATATCAACACTCTGACGGGCTGAAACAGAGAGATCCAAGTTCAAGCACAGCCTGAGCAATTGAGTAACTTTCTCAAAAATAAAAATTAAAAAAGGATTAGGATATAGCAAAGTGCAAAGGTCCTCCTGAGTTCAATTCCCAGTACAGCAAAAAAGAGAACAGTCTCATTATAATGCTAAATTCTGGGAGCATATTCTTGTCCCCCATCTTTGAAAAAGTGAGGTATGAAGAAGTATGGTAACCAAGTGAGCCTACTCACGAATGTGCCTCCTTCTGCATGACAATGGGTCTTTCCAATGGGAATTTATGTAAGTTTCCTCTTTAACAAAGCTCTGGGTATTACTCTCAGTGATCTCCTTACTTGCTGCAAGCAATGAACCTTTCTTCACTTTTACCTGCTGGCTGTGCTTAATTGGCTTTGGACTCACCAAGGGGTGAATTCAGTATGTTCACTTACACTTTGATTCGGGCAACCTTCCCCCACCCTCCGACCTTAAAATTCAGAGTCAATTTAGTCTGCTTCTGTATAGCTTATTGCACCATATATCATTAGGCATATAAGTAATCATAAAGCATCCTACTAATTATGTAAAATGGCCTTCATTCCCACCTTTAACTAAAATGGCTGTCAAGGAGGATATTAGGGGCTACATTTATAGGCTACTATGGCATCACTTGATTTCACTGTAGCAATTACAGTATGCCAGATGATCAAGCAGGACTCACCAATTTTCTGATTGAAAATCTTGTCGAAGGTTATTTCATTTCTCTCCTCAAGATATTTCTGCATCACGCTCCGGATACTGAAAAACAGGAGTGGCACATTGTTACCAACACAGCTGGCAGCATGAGTAATCAGGCCCAGGAGAAAGAACAGGCAGGTGGCTGCCCTTGAGGATACTGACTTTGAGAGAGACCCTTCTGATGATCACCAGGACTGCCAGAAACAGCTGAGGAGATTAACAGCTGGCAACTTTCTGGCTTCAGCCACCACTTTCTACTGAGAACCAGGGCCAACCTTTTATGTAGAGACTTGACTACAGAATAGAACTTAAGAACCTTGACACTATCCCTCAATACCACCTCTCTGTAAAATGCCCACAAATACGTGAGTGTACACACACACACCAGCCCCATGCACACTTAAATATGTACCATACAAATTTTGTTCATCAATTAAGAAGCATCTCTCCAAAACAAGAGCAAAAGTTCTCTAGATACATAACTAATACTTGGTAAATTCACATTGCTGTATAGCAACAATAAACCAAAAGAAACCGAATTACAAAGATTGCACTTTGAGATGAACATTTTAAAGCATCAATTTTCTTGAAATTAAAATCCTTCAGAATATGTGCAAGAAGTTTATGGGAAAATTACAAATCATATTGAGAAACATTAAAGGAGATCTAAATAAACAAAAATAGACATCACAGTTATGAACAGAAAAAATATATTATAAAAATTCAACATCTAATCTAAGTATAAAATCAATACAATCTCCATCAATATTCCAGCAGCAGTTTTCATAGAACATAGAAACAGATATGCTTTATTGCAATTTATACCTAAAAAAATAGGGTCAAGAATAGCCAAAAACATTTCTGAAGAAAAGAGAATAAAGATACTGGAACTTACTCTGAGATAAAATAATTAAGACAGGATAAACAAATCAATTAGTGACATAGAAGGGAGAGGAAATAAACTAAACCACACATACACTGAACTTTGATATATATGAGAAGTGACAAGACAGAAAAATGGAGAAAGGATGGATTTTTCAATAAGGGACCCCAAAAGAGTTTATTCAAATGAAACAAGTAGAAATTTGAATCCTTGTTACTCAGTGGTGGTGGGAGAGAACAATTTAGCATTGCTTTCTTTAAAAAACAAATTAGGTATAATTTATACATAATTAAATGTGTGTTTTAGTGTGCTGTTAGATGAGGGGTTTTTTTTTTTTGGTACCGGGAATCAAACTCAGGTCCTCGCACTTGCGCAGCAGGCAGCGAAACCACTGAGCTAAATCCTCAGCCCCGTTAGATCAGTTTTTGACAGCTGTATATACCCTGGTAACTACTATCTTAGTGATAGATATAAAAACCTGTCACCCCAGATGTGCCCCTTTGTAGTCAATCTGCCCATATTGCCAAATCCAAGCCACCACTGATCTGCTTTCTATCAACACAGATTGATAGAAAGGTATGTGGTCCAGTTCTAGACTTTTATATAAATAAAAGTATACAGTATATTGTATTTTGTGTCTGGCTTCTTTCACTTGACATAGTGAGCATCATTCACATGGCTTGTGTGTATAATTATTAAACTTCCTTCCACTGCCAATTAGCATGCCATTGTATGAATATTCCACACTTTGTTTATCTTCTGTTGGTGGGCATTTATGTACTTTCCAGTTCAGGGCTACAGAATAAAGGACCTTTAAATATATACATATAAGTCATTTAATGGGCATGTAATTTCACTTCTCATGGAGTAAATTCCAAGAAATGAAACTGTTGGTCACATGGTCAACTACGTATAGCATCATGAAAAACTGCTGGACTCTATTTCAAACTGATTCTACCATTTTACATTCCTATCAACACTGTAGTTCCATTTGCTCCGTGTTCTTATCAACACTCGAGTTGTCTCTTAAATTTCAACCACTCTGTTGGGTATGTAGAAGTATCTTATTTTAACTTCCATTTCCCTAACACATAATGACACTGAGCATGTTTATTTGTGTGCATTTTCTTTTGAGAAGGGTATAGTCAAATCTTTTGCCTTTTGAGTTGTTCGCCCGGTTACTGAACTACACTGCTTGCAAATAAGCACTGTGTCAGATTTATGTGATGCTAATATTGTATTTTCTCACAGTTAACACCTCACCCTTCATTTTCTTTATGAAGTCCTTCAAAGAGTGAAAGTGTTTAGCTGATGCGTTCCAATTTATTATTTCTTTGATGAAAAGTCTATGCTAAGAAATCTTTCTCGCCTCAAGGTCCTGAAGAATTTAATATATATTTTCCTTCAGAAATTTTAAAAGTTTCAGCTTCTGTGTTCAGGTCTAATATCCACTCCAGGTTAGTTTTGGTGTATAGTAAAAGGTAGGAATCAAAGTTCTTGTTTCCATTTCACATACTGAGTGTTACAGTACCACCCACTGAAAACTTTCTTTTTTGATTGGGTCATCTTGTTACCTTTGTTGATTCAACACTGAATACATATAGGTCTCTCTTTAGACTACTGTACCCTGTTGTGTTGATCATACAGTTATTCTTGCATAAATACCATATTGTCTTAATTGGTCCCTTTCTAACTTCTTCACCAGTGAATTTAAATATTACCAATACAGCCATTTAAAGTTATCAAATTCCCTTTAAGGGTTGATTTAAGTGCATCTCACAGATATTCTATTTTCATTTTCTTTCAATTCAAATTATTTTCTAATTTCCCCTGAGATTTCCTCCTTGACCTGTAACTTATTTAATATTGTGTTGCTTCATTCCCAAAGACTTGGCAATTTCCAGTTACCTTTCAGTTACTGAATTTTAGTTTAATTCTTTGGTTGCTATTAAACACACATTTAATGATTCAATTAGTTTTACTGTCTAGGATAGTGATGACAAATCTTTTAGAGACTGACTGCCAATCTGCAACCCAAAACCCACTTATTTATTGCAAAGTGTCAACATTGCAATTAAACCTGAGGTTTTAGTTTAGAAAAAAACCTCATGCATTAACATTTTTGTCTTAAAAGAAATACATAGTAACATGTGTACCATAGATTCGCTACCACTGGTCTAGAACATCATCTATCTTGTTGAGTGTTTCATGTGCATTTGAACACAATGTGTATGCTGCCATTGGACAGACTGATCTATAAATGTCAATTGTGTGAAGTTAGTTAATAATGTCACTTAGATTTTCTATATTCTTACTAACTTTCTATTTTTTCCATAAATTGCTGAGAGCAAAGTGCTGAACCCTTAAGCTTTAATTGGGAATGTACTCCTTTCAATTGTTTATCTGTCTGACAACTCTGTTAAGTGTAAGAACATCTGAGACTGCTGTGCCTCCTTGATGAGATAGCCCCTTGATCATTACAAAGTGCCCCTTCTCAAAGCCTGCTTATAACTTTGGTTCAGTCCATTTAATCAGATATTAATCAGATCACTCCAGCTCTCTTTAAAATAGAGTTTATATGGGATTGTCTTTGTCTTTTTTAAGTGTCTTTCTATTTACATTGTTTCTCACTCACAACATGTAGTTAATCTTGCTTTCTCATCCTACCTGATAATCTGTCTGTTCAGTAAGTTCTTTAAAACAATTTGCATTTAATGTAATAATGGACATAGTTGGTTTAAATTGATTATCCTATTGGTTTTGTATTTTTCCATGTATTATTTTTCTTTGCAATTTTGTTGAACTATAATTTACACAGCACACAACATTGTACATATGCCCTTAGATGATTTTTAGCAAACTTAAGCAACTGTCACTTCAGTCCAATTTTAAAACATTTGTATTATGGCCCCTAGCAATCAATCCCTGCTTCCACCAGAAGGTAGCCATTTACTGTATCTTCCCTCTATCTTTATACTTTTGCCTTTTCTAGAAATTTCATATAAATTGACTCACACAGAATATGTCAGGCTTCTATCACGTGGTATAATCTTTAAAAGATGCATCCATTCTTTTGTATTGGTGAGTAGTAGAATTCCTAGGTATAAATATACCACATTATTTATCTATTCACCATTCAATTAACATTTGGGTTATCTCCTAGAGGGAGCTGCTATTAATATACACCTATAAATCTTTGTGTAGACATTTTTCTATTATGTAGGATACATGTAAGTAGATTAGCTAGGTCATATGATAAATACATGTTTTAATTTTTTTTAAGAAACTGACAAATCACCTTACAATGTGGCTATGGCATTTCACATTTCTATCAGGAATATAGGAGAGTTCTTGTTTATCCACATCCTTAAAAATACTTTCTTTCTGATTTTGCTATTTCAGCCATTCTAGTTTGCATGAAGTTCCATCTCATTGTGGGATTTTTCTTTTCAGTACTAGGAATTGAACTCAGGACCTTGGGTTTGCCAGGCAGGTGTTGCACTGCTGAGCTAAATCCCTGGCCCTCACTGTGTTTTTAATTTCCATTTCCCAAATGAGTAATGATCCTAAGCTTTTTTTTTTCTACATGCTTATTTGCCACCCATGTGTCCCCTTTGGTGAGATGTTTATTCAAATAGTTCACCCATTTTAAGGAAGGCTGATGTCTTATTCTTGAATTGTGAGAGTTCTTTATGTTTTGGATATAAGTCATTCATCATGTAGGTGATTTTCAAATATTTTCTGAATCTATAATTTGACTTGTGCTTGCTAGTGAAAAAAAGGGCAAAATTTTTTGAATCTTGATTAAACCCAATTTATTAATAATTTTCTTTCATGAATTGTGGTTTTGGTGTCATATCTAATAAATCCTTGCCTAGTTAGAGGTCACAAAGATTTTTTTCCTAAATGTTTTTTTCTATAAGTGGTATAGTTTTTGCACTTAGATGCAGCTCTATAATGTAGTTTTTACTTGTTTTGTGGTATGGTGGAAAGTAAATAAGTTTCATTTTGTTTGTTTTTGTCTTTGTTTTTCATGTGGACATTCAGTTGTTCTAGCACCATTTGTTGAAATTTCTATCCTTTCTCCACTAAAATGCTTTGTCATATTTTCAACAATCCACTTACTGTAAATATGAGGGTTTATTTCTGGATTCTATATTTTGGTCCATTGATTTTA